GAAGATGGGACATGGCAGAGGGTGGGGATGGGGAACCTAGGATGGCAAAACAAAAGGCAAGGTATGCAGGACACAAAAATTGGGAAATCATTTGCTGAGAACATATATGTTGATGTGCTTGATTGAGCCAATGCACAGTGTATTTTGGATGGAAAATTCATATGTGTGTTGTGATGAGAAAAGAAAAAAAAAATTTATAATAAAAAAAAAAAAAAGTCTATGTAGTCAAGCAACAAGCATGGGAATAGGAATTTCCTCACATTGGACTCCCCTCGATTTTTTTCTGGATAATTTCAAATATTTCAAGTAAGAGGGAAAAGATTATGGGTTTACTGTGACCCCTTTTGATTTGGGAAAATTCCGCCGATTGAAAATGGCCAACCTTTGGTGTGGGCTCTCCCCAGAAGGGACTTTAGATTTATTCACAGCCCGATGAGTCTGACACACTGTCTATGGAAATCCTAGCCACCCAGAACAAATTCTATACATGAAAATCTGGATCCATCTAGTTCAACAAGACCCAGAGTGGTTACCTGGCCTTGGATAAAAGTTCCCGACCAAAATCTGCCTGATTTATCCAACAAAGAACCAAACAAATGCCTTGCCCTCAAAACAAAGTACGAAATTTTCTGTGAGGCTCAATAAAGGGTCTCATATCTGGCTCCCTCGCTTCAAATAAATCTCAAATCTGATCTCAGAGGGTTCAGACAGATATCAGTAATCACACCTCTAGAGAGGATTTAACTAAGCTGTATGAAAGAGAATCTACATAGAAACTAAATGAATAAATGAATACATTTAAGAGTGTCTTAACTGCTCAATTCTAGAGTAACAAAAATTGTTCCTTTTGATATAGCACCATTCACTGAGACAGAACAAAACTTATGGCCATCCCCCAAAGGTGAGAATGGAGGGGGGCTGAATCAGGTACTTTGGAGGGCCAAAGGTGTCTAGCTGAATTCTCAGAGTGTAGACCTAAAAGCAGGCCTGAAAGAGTTTCTTTCTGTGTGCCTCAATGAAATCAAATGAAAAATTCGGGAACCAGCAGTTAGCATATGGCTATGTCGCTGGACTCCCACGTAGTCGACCGCGGTTCGCATTCCGGACCTGGTGGCTTAGAACTCATGCCGGGCGCGTGTCTGTGTGTGCCCAAGATCCCGAGAGGAGAATGGAGGAGAAGGGATTGCGGTGTGACCATCCCCCCTGGGGGGTGATTTCTCGCTTTCTCTCTCTAATGTCTCTCTCTAATGTCTGGCGAGCGCATGCGCCCTATAGCGAAAATCTCTCCAAAAAGAAAAAAAAAGAAAAAAAGAAGAAGAAAGAAGAAATCAAATGAAAAATTCATCCCGCCTATGCAGGAGCCCCATTGGGTGCTGCTCACTCACCATTTCTGTGTCGCTTTTACCAGGCTAAGACCCTTTGACCTGTGTACTATCATGACAGGGAAAATTCATGTTGCTTCTGCTCATGAAAACCTTTGGCTGCATGCAGCAAAACAGCTGGACTAATTTAAGACACAAATGCAGTAGCACTTTGGTAAGAATTAAAGAGTAAAGTGGTTTGTGTTGTTAGATCACTCTTATCTGGTAAAGAATTGTAACAGGTCTTGGAGAAACTCAGAATATATTCATTTATAATCGATGTTCTTTTTTTAACTAGTGCCTGTAAAATGGGAAAAATCAAAGCCCTTCTTTCTTGCAAAACCCCCAGGTCCTCATCTTTTGGAGTCTGTCTTTTTCCCCACCAGCCGACCTGGGATGACTGTCAGCAACTCCTCCAGACCTTATTCACATCACAGTAAAAGAGAACAAATTGAGGTGGAATCCTGGAAACTTGTCCTGGGTCCAGATATGGAGATCAACACGAATTATGGTAAGGAGGCTCTCAGTCAGTATTGCCAAACTCCACTGAGAGGGATTAGAGTAGTGGCATGGAAGCCCAGCAACCAAAGTCAAGGTGAGCAAAACCATGCAGGGTCTGAGTGAGTCTCCCGCTGCCTTCCTAGAGAGACTCTTTGGGGCCTACCGATGCTATGCTCCCATGGACCCAGAGTCCTCAGAGAATAGGCAAGCAATGAGCATCGCGTTCGTGACCCAGTTGGCCCCAGACATTAGGAGAAAAACACAAAAGTTAGAGGAGTTTGAGGGAAAAATGCTGTCAGAACTCATGGAGGTATCTCAAAAACTCTTCAGTAACTGAGAGGACAGTGAGACTGTCCAAACTCAAAAGATGAGAAAAAAATCAAGAAGACAGATATTCCCCAGGGACAGACATTCCCCAGGGACAAGGAGGTCAAAGAAACCACCAAGCAGAAAACCTAGGCACCCCAGTCTGGGGAAAATGTAGACAACCTCCTTCTGGTGGCCGAGACAAGGGACCAATGCCTCCAGGCCACATGGCCCTGCTGCAGACTCTGACAGATCTCAGGTATCAGGCCTCAGCCAAGAAGGCCCAGCTCTGCCCCGCTCAGGCCACATATCTGGGCTACAACCTGGAGAGAGGTAAGCAGACTTTTCAGGCTGCATCCAAGCCATCTTGAACATCCCCACTCCAACCACAAAGCAAAAAGTGCAAGAGTTCCTTGGAACTGTGGGATACTGCCACCTCTGGATTCTAGACTTTGCCAAAATAGCCAGACCCCTTTATGCCACAATGGGGGGGAGGAAAGGATCCAGACTTGAGATGGACGAAGGAAAAGGAATGAGCCTTCCAAGCCTTGAAGACTGCTTTGGTGAGTGCCTCAGCTTTAGGCCTCCTTGATGTCTCAAAGCCGTTCCAACTGTACATGGCTGAGACAAAGGGCATCATGAAGAGGGGCCTAATGCAAACTCTGAGACCATGAAAGTGGACTATGATCTACTAATGGCTAGACTTATCCAAGAGGCTAGACATCAAGATGGCCAAATTGCCTGTGCAAACAGGGGAGGCCCAGAAGGCACCCCTGAGAAAAGAAAAAAAAAATTTATAATAAAAAAAAAAAAAAGTCTATGTAGTCAAGCAACAAGCATGGGACAAGGAATTTCCTCACATTGGACTCCCCTCGATTTTTTTCTGGATAATTTCAAATATTTCAAGTAAGAGGGAAAAGATTATGGGTTTACTGTGACCCCTTTTGATTTGGGAAAATTCCGCCGATTGAAAATGGCCAACCTTTGGTGTGGGCTCTCCCCAGAAGGGACTTTAGATTTATTCACAGCCCGATGAGTCTGACACACTGTCTATGGAAATCCTAGCCACCCAGAACAAATTCTATACATGAAAATCTGGATCCATCTAGTTCAACAAGACCCAGAGTGGTTACCTGGCCTTGGATAAAAGTTCCCGACCAAAATCTGCCTGATTTATCCAACAAAGAACCAAACAAATGCCTTGCCCTCAAAACAAAGTACGAAATTTTCTGTGAGGCTCAATAAAGGGTCTCATATCTGGCTCCCTCGCTTCAAATAAATCTCAAATCTGATCTCAGAGGGTTCAGACAGATATCAGTAATCACACCTCTAGAGAGGATTTAACTAAGCTGTATGAAAGAGAATCTACATAGAAACTAAATGAATAAATGAATACATTTAAGAGTGTCTTAACTGCTCAATTCTAGAGTAACAAAAATTGTTCCTTTTGATATAGCACCATTCACTGAGACAGAACAAAACTTATGGCCATCCCCCAAAGGTGAGAATGGAGGGGGGCTGAATCAGGTACTTTGGAGGGCCAAAGGTGTCTAGCTGAATTCTCAGAGTGTAGACCTAAAAGCAGGCCTGAAAGAGTTTCTTTCTGTGTGCCTCAATGAAATCAAATGAAAAATTCGGGAACCAGCAGTTAGCATATGGCTATGTCGCTGGACTCCCACGTAGTCGACCGCGGTTCGCATTCCGGACCTGGTGGCTTAGAACTCATGCCGGGCGCGTGTCTGTGTGTGCCCAAGATCCCGAGAGGAGAATGGAGGAGAAGGGATTGCGGTGTGACCATCCCCCCTGGGGGGTGATTTCTCGCTTTCTCTCTCTAATGTCTCTCTCTAATGTCTGGCGAGCGCATGCGCCCTATAGCGAAAATCTCTCCAAAAAGAAAAAAAAAGAAAAAAAGAAGAAGAAAGAAGAAATCAAATGAAAAATTCATCCCGCCTATGCAGGAGCCCCATTGGGTGCTGCTCACTCACCATTTCTGTGTCGCTTTTACCAGGCTAAGACCCTTTGACCTGTGTACTATCATGACAGGGAAAATTCATGTTGCTTCTGCTCATGAAAACCTTTGGCTGCATGCAGCAAAACAGCTGGACTAATTTAAGACACAAATGCAGTAGCACTTTGGTAAGAATTAAAGAGTAAAGTGGTTTGTGTTGTTAGATCACTCTTATCTGGTAAAGAATTGTAACAGGTCTTGGAGAAACTCAGAATATATTCATTTATAATCGATGTTCTTTTTTTAACTAGTGCCTGTAAAATGGGAAAAATCAAAGCCCTTCTTTCTTGCAAAACCCCCAGGTCCTCATCTTTTGGAGTCTGTCTTTTTCCCCACCAGCCGACCTGGGATGACTGTCAGCAACTCCTCCAGACCTTATTCACATCACAGTAAAAGAGAACAAATTGAGGTGGAATCCTGGAAACTTGTCCTGGGTCCAGATATGGAGATCAACACGAATTATGGTAAGGAGGCTCTCAGTCAGTATTGCCAAACTCCACTGAGAGGGATTAGAGTAGTGGCATGGAAGCCCAGCAACCAAAGTCAAGGTGAGCAAAACCATGCAGGGTCTGAGTGAGTCTCCCGCTGCCTTCCTAGAGAGACTCTTTGGGGCCTACCGATGCTATGCTCCCATGGACCCAGAGTCCTCAGAGAATAGGCAAGCAATGAGCATCGCGTTCGTGACCCAGTTGGCCCCAGACATTAGGAGAAAAACACAAAAGTTAGAGGAGTTTGAGGGAAAAATGCTGTCAGAACTCATGGAGGTATCTCAAAAACTCTTCAGTAACTGAGAGGACAGTGAGACTGTCCAAACTCAAAAGATGAGAAAAAAATCAAGAAGACAGATATTCCCCAGGGACAGACATTCCCCAGGGACAAGGAGGTCAAAGAAACCACCAAGCAGAAAACCTAGGCACCCCAGTCTGGGGAAAATGTAGACAACCTCCTTCTGGTGGCCGAGACAAGGGACCAATGCCTCCAGGCCACATGGCCCTGCTGCAGACTCTGACAGATCTCAGGTATCAGGCCTCAGCCAAGAAGGCCCAGCTCTGCCCCGCTCAGGCCACATATCTGGGCTACAACCTGGAGAGAGGTAAGCAGACTTTTCAGGCTGCATCCAAGCCATCTTGAACATCCCCACTCCAACCACAAAGCAAAAAGTGCAAGAGTTCCTTGGAACTGTGGGATACTGCCACCTCTGGATTCTAGACTTTGCCAAAATAGCCAGACCCCTTTATGCCACAATGGGGGGGAGGAAAGGATCCAGACTTGAGATGGACGAAGGAAAAGGAATGAGCCTTCCAAGCCTTGAAGACTGCTTTGGTGAGTGCCTCAGCTTTAGGCCTCCTTGATGTCTCAAAGCCGTTCCAACTGTACATGGCTGAGACAAAGGGCATCATGAAGAGGGGCCTAATGCAAACTCTGAGACCATGAAAGTGGACTATGATCTACTAATGGCTAGACTTATCCAAGAGGCTAGACATCAAGATGGCCAAATTGCCTGTGCAAACAGGGTAGCCACAGATGTCACCCTAAAGCCAGTAGGACCCCTGCAAATCCCCTCATGCTTCCTCTTTGAACCTTTGCTAAAAATGTAGATACACTCTGGAAGAAAGAAGAATTAGGCCATGCCCTAGATACTATAGACCAGCCTGAGGAATGGAAAGAGCTGCTTGATGGGTGACTCCTCTCAGATGCTCTAGGATGGGGCCTTATCTCCCTACTCTATTGGAACACTCATCTAGGGAAACAAAGGTAATAGAACTTCTCAAGAGGGACTGTTACATTCCTGGGCTGGCAAAAATTGCCGAAGACACAGCCAGAAGATGTTACATCTGTGCTCAAGTAAACCTTGGAAAGTCAGTTCCCCTGTACCATGGGACCAGGCTTTGAGAACAGAGCCCTGGAGAATACTTGAGGCTCGACCTCACCAAGCTCCCTAACGAGTCAGCAGGGCACCACTCCTGCTGGTGTTCATAGACACTTTTCCTGGTTAGTTGGTGGCATACCCCACCAAGTCCAAGACAGTACAGGTAGTTGCTTAAAATTATTGTCTAAAATTGTCCCATGCTTTGGGTTACCAGTAATCTGGGGTCCAACAATGGCCTGGCGTTCACCACCTGTGTTACTCAATTATTGGCAAAATGTTCAAAAATGGAAAACTTCACAGGACCAGCAGTTAGCGTAATGGCTATGTCGCTGGACTCCCATGTAGTTGACTGTAGTTCAAGTCCCAGACCCGGCGACTTAAACTCACGCCGGGCACGTGTGCATGCGTGCCCTAAGATCCTGAGAGGAGAATGGAGGAGAAGGGATTGTGGCATGGCCATCCCCCTTGGGGGCTGATTTCTCACTTTCTATCTCTCTGTCTTTCTGGCAAATGCACGCAACCTATAGCAAAAATACTCTCAAAGAAAAAAAAGATGGAAAACTTCACCATGTCTATCAACCTCACAATTCAAAAGACAGGTAGAGAAGATAAATAGGATGTTTAAAAAAGCTTTAACCAAGTTGAAGTTGGAGACTGGTGAAAACTGAGTGAGTCTTCTTCCCTTTGCCCTTCTTCATGTGCATTGCACCCCTTATGTATAGGAGTTGACCCCCTTTAAAATAATGTTTGGAGAGCTGCCTCCACTTGTCCTCGATTGATGAGGAGATAAAAGGGGAACTTTCTAATCATGCCCTTTTGAAGTCCCTGCAAGCCCTACAGGTATCAGCAAAAGGATGCAACACCTTCTCCGGGAAGCTCACCAGCCTTTAGGTCTCCAACCCAGCTGACACCTGCTGGCGACCTCCAGCCCAGGGACTTGATCTGAATCTGAAATCATGAGCCTGCCTCCCTGGACACTCATTATGCTGGTCCTTTTCCTGTCGTCCTGACTAGGCCAACTATAGTCAAGTTGCCAGGAGCAACATTGGATTCA